TCATACGAAACACGTCTACAGCAAATGATCTTTAGAGCTCGACATTTCGCGAGGAATAAATGCCAGCGTCAAAAATTATTTCGCGGGCACAAATTCTTGCGATCGGAAGTGGTATGCTATGCATGAATCCCCATGGGGTGAATTCATCACGGCACCAATTTTTGGCAATTTTTTTCTGGGTACGAACTGCGAAAATGAAGGCGTCTGCAGACGACTGGGGCGGCGAAAGCTACGGACTTGCTCGATCAATCAATCGCTGTTTTTGTCGGGTCCAGCTCTCAGCACGCAAGTACGGAGAGTGGCGTCGGCGATGGAGGGGCACCGCGCTCTTCCAGACATTCTAGCTTAGCAGTAAACAATACGGCGGAGGGAGGAAATCAACCCCCCCCTCCTCTTCCGCCTTTGCACCCCCCCCCCCCCCCACCCCCAATCCGTCTCCCAAAGAGTTCCGCCGCAACTGATCGACCTTAAGCGAGTTGACAGCCTCTGCATCGGGGAAAAAAGAAAAACAGCCTCGCATAACACCATTCGCACACAATTAGTAATACTGGTAAAAGCAAGCGATCTACAGACAATAACAAGCCTTTTGAACGCAGGAAATAATCTAGCCCAAACAAACAAAACACGAACTTACTTCGATCCCGTGCCATAATCTTGGCTGTTGAGCAAATTTGACGTAGTTCCACGTCCCACAGTCGCTTCCGTCTTTGTCGGACACATTTGAAACTAAGGCAAACTCCACGCATCACCACTAATCGGGTAATTGGACCGTTAGCCGGTCGTGAACACAGGCATTCAAACACACACGGCCGGCGAAACGTGCGAAACAGGCCGTTGCTTCGATGAGATTGTGTTCGTATCTTCAACACGTTTGAAATCAAACAATCAGCAAACCGCATTATAAAACTTATAAAAGACAGCAATAATAAATTATTGCAAATGTCAATTTTGCCACAATATTATGAATAAGTCCTGAACATGTTGCAAAATAATAAATACGAAACTAAGCCTACGATGGTAAAAACCATAGAGTTATTATAATGTACGCTAGAGGTTCAACTGGCGCTAGTGTCTATGCGACTTCCGTGACGCAAATTGAAGCAGACAGCAACCAGTCTACTTTTGCGGTGCTCCTGTGCATTACTATGGGAAAACGCGCGTGCATTTGGCCTCTTCGCCGAAAAATAACACGGAACACTTTGGTTATTTGAGTCGTACCGAATAGTATGTACCTTGATTAACACTGTAAAAGTGTAATTGCATTAGTTAGCGCATTTTTCTTCATCAGTGACCGATGTTTAACTTCGCTACATTTCAGTCCCAAACGTGTGTTCCGCAGCAGGTGTGTAAAAACAAGCGACGATTCGAAGCAAAATTACAATCGAAAGCAATGTAGAGTGTGTTCAAGGCTCGCCAGCATTCCGGTGACGTTTGTATATTGATAATAGGCCAGTCCTGTCACTATATAAAAATGACCCCGTCGTGCATGAACGGATGAAAACATTCAAAACGTAGAGAATAAAGTCCGTGGGCTATAAAAGGTGTCTCTTCGTATTGTTTTCAATGCCGGGCAGCTTTTATCGGGCACTAGTTCTCAAAGATTTCGAGCGTGCGAGTGATATTTTGAACGTAGAACAAGCAGCTTCGCTCAGAGCAGAAAGAATAAAGCGGTACTTACTTATTTAAAATAGGAATAGATTACGTGGCCTTCAATTTATTTTGATCGTATATGCACGTGTAGTTACAGATCCTGTGTTACTGCGTAGTTCTTGCCGTCTTTCTTAATTTCCAGATGTTCTTCGTTCGTTTGGCACGTATATCCCCCACGCTGAAAAGCGCCGACGTCGTGTTCGCGCTAACAGTGTCCGACAGTGCACATAAATACACGTACGAAGCCGTTTTAGCACCGTTTTTAATGCGATGAATTTGAAAGAAAAACACCGTAACTGACCAATTATTTCGTAGGCCTGACTGAGAAATGTTTCAAGCTACCTAGTACGTACGAATTATTCGGGATATTTGCTCTTATGATCGAGCGCAGAGAGAAAATGCACTCACTTTTTCCCATAGAAATGCATTACCGGAAGTCAATTTTCGACTGGTTGCTGTCTGCTTCAATTTGCATCAGCACACTAGCGCCACTTGAACCTCTAGCGTACATTATAATAACTCTATGGTAAAAACAAATTCAGCAGACATGCAACCTTCTAGGAAGGGAGCCGAGGTCATCCGGGCGGCGGTGGCGTAGCGTGCTGACGCTCTGGGTTCTAGAGCTTGTAGTTGTTGGTTCGCATCGCGGTAACCGCTATTTGTTTTCTTACACTTTTTTTCATTTTAAATGTTTTTTCTCACTTTTTTGTATTCGTTCTTATTATTTTAAATATTTTTTCTGACCTGTTTGTATTCGTTTTTATTTTTAAATTTTTTTTCTCACCTTTTTGTATTATTTTATATTATTTTGTATTATTTTGTATTATTTTGTATTATTTTGTAATATTTTGTAATATTTTGTATTATTTTTTCTCACCTCTTTGTATCAGTTTTTATTTTAAATATTTTTCTCTCACCTTTTTTAATTCGTTTTCATTCATTAAAACTTTTCTCCCCTTTGTGTATTAGTTTTTATTAATATAAATATTTTCTATGTTTATGCTGTCGTCGGCACCCTTCTTCAGGGTAACAATCACGCAGACGGTGAAAATAAAAAGTGCGAGCCCACGTTTGAATTGATGCAATTCAGAAAACCTGGCCCTCTTGTTTTGCCGAGATGATTCGCTCCCTCCGTGCTAATAGGTGGGTCAGTGTAGTAGGCAAACAGCGCAAGTCCTTTCGACGAAGAAATAAAATTAATAATAATGGGTACATTTAGAGCAAAATGGGAAAATGCAAGTGGTAAAACTGCCACAGTGATGAAGCCAAAGTTTGTCATGAAAGCGGTTTATCTTCACCCAGTATTGAAACAAAAATACCGCAATTTTAAGGCAGTAATTTAGTTGAGCTTATAGCTCATAAGCACATCTCTTAATTTTCTGACTTCCGGAAAGTAGCATTTAATTTTGTTCTGGTAGATCAGCGCTATCCCCCGCGTGCCGCCAGGTCTTCTTATACAGGTTGCGCTCCACAGTTTTACTTATTGTTAGGCCTAAACACTTTTTTATTCCTGAGATTTAAGTACAGCGCGGATAATTAAACTAGCTTTCAGAAATGCTATCGTTCGGCATTGTGACATTTATTTTTCGTAGTGTCAAGGGGTCACATTCACAAACCCATCAGTGTGTACATCCACAACGCATTGGTGTTTCTCGCTTTTTTTACTAACGAAAAAAAGTTTTTATATTCGCGTTCCTCTGGTACGGTATGTCGTATAACATAAGCTATTAAAAAGACAGATATCGTTTGGCTATGTGAACATTTAAAATATTTCTCTTAGATGATCGTAACTACCACATAAAACAGTCGATTCCTGCCCTAAATAGCATATTTTCACACTAGATTGAAATCACCAATAAAATGATCCCTCAGGAGATTTATGTGCCTCTCGTAGCGTCGTAAGCAATAAACACATCTCTTACTTTTCTAGTTTCTGGAAAGTAATGTTTATTATTGTTTTGTAGCTCAAAGCGCGTGCTCAATCATGCCACGTCTTTTTTCTTTTTTCATTCGAGGCTCCGCTATACAGTTTTTATTTTTTATCAGAGCCAAACACGTGTGTATAACGCCAGACCTTAAGAATAGTACATCAAATTAAACTAACTTCCTGAAAAAAGTGTCGTTCGGCGTTGTAATTTCCGTGGCGTAGGGGGTCAGATTCTCAAATCCTGGACTCCAAATTTTCCTCACGGCATTGTTTTTTCTTTCGCGTTTTCGCGATAAAACACGTCAGCCTTGCCATGGTGGGATCAAAAACGCCAGCGTCGGCGGTCATTTACGAAGCATTGATCAACGCAAACATTTCCACTCGCTACATATGAATCGGCGCAGTTCGTCGGAATCTCAATGACGTGACTGCATAGTGAAAAAGGCAAAAAAAATAGAACGCTGCCGGTCAGTAAACAGAAGTTCCCGGGGCTCGTCAGCCTGCGAACAGCAAAGCGCCGATGCCGGCCAGTCACTGAACTTCCATGTAAATACTGCCCATCAAAGAAAGCAAAATACCGATGCCGGCCAGTTACTGAACTTCCGCGTAAATACTGGCCATCAAAGACAGCAAAATACCGGTGCCGGCCAGTTACTGAACTTCCGTAAATACCGGCCATCAAAGACAGCAAAATACCGATGCCGGCCAGTTACTGGAACCTCCATAGAAAGACTAGCCAGCAAAGACAGCAAAACCCGATGCCAGCCAGTCACTGTAACTTCTACGGCTGGACTGGCCAATGAGCAAGACGAAACCCCGACGCCGGCCGGGGCCGGTAGCTCCCCGGTGCCCATGGCCAGGCGCTGCCATCCTGTTACCATGGGCGGGCCGGCGTAGTCCCAATGTCCCGATACCGGCCAACGCGGGGTGCTACCTGCATCTACACGTTGACTGGCACCATATAGTGCCATATACAGGAGTATCAGGAATCGTATACTGTTATATGTGGCAGCCACTGGCACCATATATGACTTTATCTGGCATTATATGTCGTCATATATAGTGTTGCCTTACCATATCTGCCCTGATTTCAGCCCTTATACGGCAATATATGACCGTATATGTCTACTTATTTGCCCATATATGGCCCTATATTAAACATATCTGGGCCATATATGACATTTCTGTAAGGGAGTATAAAATGGTAGTAAAACACATTTGCAACAAGTATCTTGCTTCAAGTTTGGAAAACGGAGTAATATGCACTCAAGCATTACACTTTTTTATTTTCGGTTTTTGCTAAGGCAAGAATAAATTAGAACAAAATACGAATGCTTGTTTTCCTGACGTTTTATTTTATATGTTAGCATGCATGAACAGAATATAGCAGTCAAACAGAACAAGGTATAGAATACAAAGACAATTAAAATACATTAAACAATTCTCAGAAGTTTTAACTATAATGGCTGAAACACGTACGGAAAATCGAACGAAATTTTATTGGAAAACACAAATGGGAAAATGAAAGCGTTCAATGTGCATAAATCTCACCTACCCTCTTAGCAAAAGAGTCTTAGCGGTTTACCGGAAGAAAATACCCTTTTTGCCAGAGTAGAATGCTCTGCCACATGTGTATTAATCCTTGAAGAAACACCGAACTGCAAAAACTATAAATTTGTAATTGCCTACACACATGCCTAAAAATACTATAAAATGTTTTAGAGGAATAGTAACGTCCGGAAATTCACGTGAGCAATTAAAATATGTTCCCCTATTTCTGGCTGACGTGCAAAAAAAAGAGGCATGTTTTTAAATTATTTTTAAGCAAAAGACTCTCAAAATGCTTCAAAAACGTGAGCTAGCCAAGCGTTTCAGCATGTTTATTTAGTTTCCTGCCACTTTAACAGTGACTTTCAGAAACCATGATGAGAACAGTGTTTTTTGGAACCCATATCTATGACTATCAGGCCTTTTTGCTATGCTCATTGGATCCTTGAACCTTATATACGAATAGACTAAGCCCGAGAAAATATGCTCCAATGATATATGATCCATTACACACCACGGCGGTTTAATTTAACGTTTCAATTCTTCAATAAAAAAAGCATGTATCAGCTTAGCGTAGCTTGCCCGCATCGTAATAAAATGCTAAACATATCGCCGCCACTACTTGCCTTTGCTCGCGAAATGTTAAGGGGTCCTGAAATTCTTAATTTACATTTTCAATGCAACAATGAAGACGCGGTTGCCTTTAGCGTTTTTCTTTGCAGCTTTCCTCGTAGACTTGATATTTGGTAGAGGCTCCGCAAAGCAAATCGAAGACAAAATCACAGAAAGTGGACTTTCCCAGATGACTTTCCGGAACCAAAACACTGCAAGCAGGACCTGTAATTCACGCAAAACAAGAAAAGAAAGCACAATTACACTATTATATTTTCGCATTTGGACCGGTAAATAAACGAGGCATTTGCGCTGGTCAATAATTGACACCACCACATATTTCTTGCTTGAATAATGAGTAACAAGGAAGAGCACAGGCGTAAAAAAAAAAGCTTGCAGCAGGCACCATAAATAAGACCTTATTGTGGGGTACACCGTTTGAACTCAACATCAATCACCCATCTTTTAGAAATTATAGAGAAGATGCAAGCGAGCTGGTGAACTTTTAACATTGTAAAACCCGAGACGTTTTACAATGTTGACATCCATCTTTCTTTAATAAATCGAGCTGAAAAAATTGCGACCGGTACCATGCGCCAAAACCATGTGATTTCAGGTGCATAATGGTTTAACACTTCTTTGCCCCTCAATATGCGTGGTCATTGGGGTGCTATATTCCAAGACTATCTTGCTGGTAAGCAAGTTAGAGCACGACCGATCAAGAATGCTTCCAGTGCAAAGCTTTCCAGCGTGCTCATAAGACCTTAAATATGTGAACGGTGGAATTATACCTCACTCGTATGATGAAGTCCCAAACACTCTGATTTGCAAGAATAATAAAAAAAAACATGCACAGCTTATTGATGTGAAATTTGTCTTAGTAAAAATTGAAACAAAATAACAATATACTTCTTAGTGTCAAAGCAAAGTAGGTTTGAAATCAACCAGATGTAAGAATTTTCCGGCTCAACAGTGCAGTGGCACGTAACATTATAAAATCTGTCAAAGCTGGCACAAAAATTGATGCATTCACCTGATGTGATGTAGGGATGCCTGAAAAGACAGCAAGTAGCGCAGTCCACGTAAGCAATGAGCACATTCACTGATCCTTCTGTAAAGAAGAAGTAAGCACACTTAAAAATTTGCGGAACACAAAATCAACGCAAAACCCGGTTGGTGAGTTTAAGGCACAATCTTATTTCGTCATCATCATCGTAAACTTTATTAATCGAAAAAGTGAAAGGACCTTGCGGTCTCTGGTCGGTGCCCTGAGTCCAGGGCTCCATTGGCCACCCAGATTTGGCGGGCTCGCTCAACCAGTCGCTGCTGGTCATCGAGCTCTGTGCCGGATAGGACCACCTCCCAGGAGGAGAGGGTTGGGCAAGGAATGGGGGTGATACCCTCACCGAGCGGGTGGGGTGCGAAATTCGTATTGCAAATCTACAATGACCTGAAACTTCTGATATAAATAGTGAAGTGATGAATATGCCACTTTTGGTTTTAAATATAAAAAAATAATAGCAGTCACTGATTTTGCATTCCGAAAATGATATGACAACGGCAGTGGACGTGTAAAAAACAATGGCCTTATGCATGTCATGGAGGGATTTTTAAACAATGAAAGAAATAAGTTTAGTAGTAGAGCTGTACCGACTTATCAAGAATTATTATTGAAATGACATTAGCAAAAGTTGCGTAGCAATGTGACATAATGCTTCAAATCAGTGAAACGCAGTTCTTATTCTTATTTTATGTGTAGCATTGAATTAAGAACTCGTTCTCTCGAATTAATTAATGTTTTAAAACACACACACACAAACACACGCGCACACACATAAACCAGCCCGCACGCGCACGCACACACACACCCACACAAACACACGTGATAAAAGGATTTTCGGTGATTTTTTATTATGTGAACAATTCTGAGAAACAAGTAGAGAAGTAATTACCTACAATATTGGGAGAGAAGTTTGGAGTAAATAGATTGTTCCAGTTTTTTTATTGCTTTGTATATTGTTGTCTAGTATCTGGAACCCAGTTTAGAAACGCCCAAATGTAGAGTAAGGTTTTGTATAAACGTGTTCCCGTTTGTCTGCTTAGAAATAAGGAAGTTATCCAATAAAGGTAATTCTGAAACAAACAAAAATTCTCATTTTAGGTAAATCGTATATGAATAGAGAAATTAATATTTTTAAATCGATATGCTAGATATCTGTAAGGGAATCAATATTGAAGTGGTGTATCTTAAATACACAAGTTTTTAGTGTGGCATATAAGTATGCAAAATTAGAGCTACTTACGGGATGTCATGAACTCCGCGGCGTTCTTGGCTTGATAACCCTCGGTGGAATTAAGGTTGTAGGTCGCATTTCTAGATTAGAGACATATACACCAAACCTTGCTTTAATACGTATTTTGAAAGTCTTGTAATTCGGATATAGCAATCGCAATTCTCTTTTACAAAAAAAAAAAAAAAATACAGCGCTAAATTAGTACCGGGGACAACTGGAAGACAGGTACAAACACAGCGCTGTCTTTGCCTTCTACAGTCCTCGTGTCCTGCTTGCGCTGCTTTATTTATTCTCATCACGCACCGACTAGTCCTTGCCTTCTTTGCAGCTGGACTTTGTGACTGTCCACAGGTATGTTTTCTGAAGTATGAATTCAGACATTCCCGGTAACACCTTATTGAGCTTAAAAACATTCAATGCCTCCATGAATTTTTTTTCTTGCGGAGATTGTGTATTGTAGCGCAACAGTTGAATGCAAACAACTGCAATTGAATTACGGAAAAGTGTAACACGTTAAATCAATCAAACTTGCGTCCGTAAAAGGCATCACTGCTAAATGCAGCAGGAAACCTGAATTTTCAGGCTATATATGTTTCCAAATTTAGTGAAACTTAGTGCGAGTGCCGAGGTCCAAAAAGCTCATAAATTAACTCCAAGCGCAGCTCGAAGCACGCTGCACATTTTGTGTCTTCTGACGTTATCCGTAAGACTAGGATATACTTTTTAATTCCTAAGGCATTAGAGAGAATCCCAGGAACTGCAAAACATTAACAGATTAATTATGACACAAATCTACCTGTAAATAACGAGACTTGCTATTAAGAAGAAAAAAAGAACTTGCGAGTTACTCGGACGATAGTCAAAACCGCGACCTTTGCTTCGTTTTGTCCAATATTATTCATATAAATACAAAAGCTAGTGCAATCATAATACCGCTGGAGCACTGAAAAAACACGAAGAACGAAGTATTTATTACCAATATTCAAATTTATATTTTTAATACGCGGCAATTTTTCAGATCTGTAATGAAAGCTTCCTTCAGGTACGACTGTAGGGTGACCACCTTCCTGATAGTCAAATGTGGGACACGCTGACCGGGGGTGGGGGGGGGGGGGGGGGGGGTTTACAACTGCGGCATCTAAGAAGGACACATTGGAGTCCGTATTCGTATAGTCCGTATTACCACGCACACCACTAAATGTGGCTGAAAGCATATTATACACCTGCGCACTGTATTGCTGCCATTAAGCTCAAATAACTTTCACACTAATGTTAATGAAAAGTAAGCTATTAAATGTGCCTAAGTTTAAAACATCAAAATTGACTGCAACAAAGTTCAATGCATCAAAAGTAAAGAAGAAACAGTAAACCATTTTTCGACTCATTGTTTCCTGTCGATATATTTTTACCAACATACTCTTACTCAAATTTAGAACCCTTTGTTTTTATTAGAACTTGGGTTTGGGCTAGTTGGCCCACACTGAATTAAAAGGACAAAAGCACGAACAAAACAAGGACAGTAATAAGGCGGAGAACTGGGCCAGCTGGTTGACGTTATACATGTCCGGTCGTGTTTGTTCCTCTTCGTATAGTCCGAGTTTTCTGAACTGTTTTCCCCATCATGTAAAACGAGGACAATGAAGACACGAAGACGACGGGACAGGCGCTACCTCTTCACTAAAAAATAGTTCACATCAACCCTTTCGCATTGACACAGTTTAATTTGAAAATAATTGCAATAATTCATATTTCATGTTTTGGCTAGCAATTTTCTCTTTCAGTGCTTTTCCACCAGGGGGAGAGGCACAACAGCAGATGCGCGTCGAACTCCTGCAAGAACGACGGTCGCTTCCCGCAATGCTAGGATAGTAAATAGCGCACCATCGCAATTTATACGATTAGGGAATTGTAGTAGACCGTTTCCGCAGCCCGCTAAGCACCCGGATAGCGCTCCGTAATCCGCCACAAGACCTTGAAATATACAGACAAGGCTAGCGGCGCGCATGCGCAGCTGCGACGTTTTCTTCGAGGATACCCTAGCGGAGGAGAAAAACGATCTACTACAACTCCCTATTACCAGAGGCCTCCACGCTTCCCTGCGCCCCTTCGTTCGGCAGCGCCATGAGAGAAATTGTGAATTTTACGACAGCGTAAAATGCGGGACATTTTGAACATTTCTGGATTATTTTGCGGGACGCGGGACACAAGCCCTCAATGCGGGACAGTCCCGCGAGTCGCGGGACGGGTGGTCACCCTAGGTACGAGTCTTTCTTTTTTTACCCCTAGATTTGCTTGTTTCTTAGAGGGTGGGTGATTTCTGCGCTGCCTGCAGGTTCGTTATACGGTTCTAGTATGGTGTCTGGAACGCGCCTGCGACCGGTCTGCCTACCGCGTCCAAGAAAGTTGTCCCTCGATTTTCTCCCGATGACGTCACAAGCGTGTCGCGGTGTCGCCGCGGCCGTCATCCCGGCGGCATCACAGCAGCGATGGCGGACATGACAGGCGCCAGTTCTGCTGCACCTCGCTTTCCAGCCCGACAACGACGACAGCTACACCCACATTCGCCCGCGCTAAGTTTCGCCAGCTTTTCTACGACGAACCACCAACCCATGGGATCGCGACATCCGACAGCATGACACTGCGACTTTTGTGATGTCTTTTGTTGTCATTTTGGGACCACTCGTGGATGCAATGGGCGGAATACGGGACGCTAAACACACCAGTCGTTCCAGTTGCACCGTGCAACGTTCTCGGAACGTGTCTTTGACTCGTGCCAAAATGCGTTACCCAACTGCAGGGTGTCACAAAAATAAATTTACAAGGGTTTCTTTTCATCTCAAAAATAAACTAGGCATTGCCGAACGCTCATTCTCCACACAAAGGTAGCTGTAGAGGTCACAACCAGATGCCGAAGTTTCAGCCCGATCTGATACCTTAATCAAAAGTCATAAGTGATTTCCTGAAAATTTCAATGGGAAAATGGAGGCCATTTTTGCCCGTTTTCGGTTTCTGGTGCCCCTAGAGCCCCATTTACTCGAAAACTCCGTCGGCCGCAATTTTCCCATTGAAATTTTCAGAATATCACTTATAACTTTTGATTAAGTAATCGGATCGGGCTGAAACTTTGGCATCTTGTTGTGACGTCTAGCGCTACCTTTTGGCGGAGAATGAGCGTTCGGCGATGCCTAGTTTATTTTTGCGGTAAAAAAAAAAAAACCTGTAATTTTTTTTGTGACACCCTGTATATACGCGTTTCGATTTGTGTGCTTAGCTAGCCATGCCACCAATAGGCACTTAGTGCTCAAGGAACGCGGTGCGTGGTGAGTCCCGTGCATCTCATTATCGCCACGCAGCCAATGAGATGGCAGCATTATTTGATACAAGAGTGACAAGGAATGAATCCCAAAGCAGAGAAACGTGAATGTATAATAAGCCAAGCCCAGCGCCTCTTAAGCTGTCAGTAAACGTACACTAACGCGCATCTGTGACGTTACGCCGCTGCGGTGGCGTTGATATCGTCAGGGCGCATGCGCGAAGCCCTCGGTTTACGCGATCCAGGATTCTGTGCACGCGCAGTGCACACACCTATAGCTGGTGTGGACAGAAGCTACGTTATTTGCAAGTATAGGCTGCCGGTTTATAGAAGACAAAGCCTGTGACTTTTCTTCTCTATTCACATCGCTTGTACAAAGTTCTGGCCCCTTTCTCTCTCCTCCTCCATTTTCCCCTCTCCCTCCCCCCCCCCCCCCCCTAAAAAAATAATTGCAAAAAATATAATGCAGTTGTCGACCGCTCATCCTCCGCCCAAACGTAGCACTACGGCGGTTCGAACCAGTTCAGAACCAATCGTCATCTTAATAAAAAAAGATTTTCTAAAAATTTGAATGGCAACAAAGGGCCCGTCCTTGGTATCAATGCGACATTCAGCTCCACGTATTCGACAGCTCCGTCCGCCACCACTTTCCCATTGAAAGTTTTTGGAAAATCACTTCCAAGTTTTGAATGAAATAGCGGATAGCCTCCGAAACCTTGGCATCTGGTTTATACCGCTGAATGAGCGTTCGGACGCCGAGCGTTCGGACGCCTTGGCATCTGGTTCGGCAATGTGTAGTTTATTTTTTCGATAAAAAATATAAACAAAACGCAATTTTTTCTTTTCAAGGGGGAGGGGGGGGGGGGCAGTTTGTATATCTACGCAAAACAGGTGCATTGTTTTTAGCATTTTTTTTTCAGCCGCTTTAACTGGCGGATGGTAATGTCACGCCATTGCAATGCGATAGTCTGCCTTTAGCCTAATGATGCCCTCCACCCGTGGAAACGGCACGGCGTGTCTTTCGAACGCCCGGCCTGAAGCACGTGCTCCACGCCATCCACTCTGCTTTGGCTGCGCGCGCGCGCGCTATCGAGGTGCACGAGACCTCGAAACATCAAATGTAGGAAACTCGCGCAGGATGCGGGGCGAGTGAAGCTCCTCCTTGCCGTTCTCACCTTTACAGTTATTATACCCCCGCAGCCAAAAAGCGTAGAATGGGCAGGAGGTGGCGTCCGTATTTTCCATGCATAAAGCGACGCCTAACGGTAGTATTCGTGGCCACGAAATGCCTCCTCAGCCTTTTGGCTAGGGAGACGATCCTTTCTCTGTGTCTTTTTTAATTTATTAGGTTCCCATCTTCCACCACAGTCTCGGGTAATTTTCATCTTGACTAGGGAATTCGATTAACGAACGCTGCCATGAAAATATGGGGCAGACATCTGCGTTGCCATGGCACTGTCGTGTCAACGCGGTGTTCTGCCCCATATTTTCATGGCGGCGTCCACTGAATCGGTATCGAACAAGTGAGACTTGGAGCCCAAGTGAGAGTTTGAGCCCGACCAGAAAAAAATTCGGCGTGTAGCGGATGCTCTCGACATTGCGTCGGGAGCGTCGTCTAGAGCGAGTCGTCATAGCTTGGCTTTAGAAAGCGAGCGTGTCAGTGGTCGTTCGCACGAACGCTGAGAATGGCACCGCAGGTTGAGAGAGCCGTGCAAGCCCTTGTTCCTGTAAATCCTGTCCTATTTTAACGTCCTTGCCCGCAGCGGTTCAGTTAACGGAAGCTTCTGCAGCCACGAGTTGTGACGCCTCAATGTTAGCGACGACCCCACCCTCCCATCATTGCTACTCTAGTCACTGATGTCAGCTTGAGAAATGCCGGGCCTGTGTTCGCTTTTCTTACTTTGTGATTTGGTTTTCGGTGGAGTTATTGGCTGATGCAGCAATCTCATTGGCTGAGTAGCGATAATAAGATGTTTTGAAGTCGTGACGCACGAAGTTTCTGAAGATGTCGGCGATTATTGGCGACCGCAGCCAAATCGACGACACCTGGCGGCTAGAACCAAAAGCCTCGAGGACAGGTTCGCTCACCAGCCTTCTCGAACGAATCAAATATTAACAACGCCCAGCGGTCTAAAGACGAAGTCGTGAAAGTGGGTTCGAAAACTCGCTATCAAATTCGCCAATACCAATTGCCAGGATCGTGGCCAGCCTTTACATGGCGGCTCCTGTACTGTTGTCGCTCTTTCAGTAACACTTCGATGTCTGTGTTGTGTAGGATGCTGTTTACACCACACGGCACCGCGCCCGCCCACAGCACCGTACTAAAAGGACGTGTATCTTTGCATTTATAGTTTCTGGGAAATAGGTAGTAGTCATTTTCCCCACTTACATGTTGGTTCCTCCAATGTGAAGACGAATCGGAGCCGAGCCGTCCACCAATGGTCCAGTTTGGTAACCCTTTACGCACTTCGCTTTTCCTCCAAAGCCTGGGTCGATCTCGTGGCTTCGGTACATCATGTACCACGTCTCTTGTAGGGGGAAACACTGTGGAAGAGAGACACAAATTTAAACTACATCGAAGTTGTGTCTTTACACGTGTAACCTTTGAAAGACGAAATAATTAATCAGTGAAGAGGATAGCATCACTGATTATTAGCACATTCCTGCGTTGGACAAATTGTTTCAACTCGATAGCCTTGATCTGTACAGGTATATCTTAGGGCAGTACCGTTATGGTATTTTGTGGCACAATACCTATTTTTTGTTATTTAATTATAGTGCACGCTCGACCGATTAGTGTTAACCATAGCGTTCATCATTTTTAACTACGCTTTTCATTTATTTAAATGCTACGTCTGAGTGCGGTTGGTATCCGTAAAACACATACGGCGGGCCGAAAACTCGAAGTCACTGGCACACTCCTTTTACCACTATTCTCTTATTCGGTCCGAAATACTTTATATTTTACTGATTTACTGAATACAACATAGGGTGGCATAGCGCACCGCAGCTCAGAACAAACGGAGGGGAAGCTCAAACTGCAAGGTCATTCCTTGGTTCGGTAAACGCGCCTGCCTGTTCCGATATGGACAAGCGTCGTACCGGTGTGCGGTCGTCTAATAGGCTAGTAGAACGTTTTACTGCAGGTAATAATGTTTTTAATTACAGCGTAATCAGTGTTGGCTTTTTACAAAGGCTGGCCGACCTCTCGCTGACTAGACATTCAAAGTATAACCTTTTTTATTGTGGTGAAGAACCGCAAGACCCACAAGTCATCGTAATTCATTATCTGCATACTCGAACCCCTTTAGGACTGCTTGAACAAATGCCTTTTGATAATCTGTGCAGACCCTTACAGTTATCGAGAACAAACACACGTGAAAAAGAAGGCATTTCTGAAGGGTTATACTTTGTTTCCTTTTAAGTCAGCGCTACGAACAGATTGGACCAATCAAACAGCGTTAAAAGGGCAAAGCCATGGTGACTGTCAAGTGTCTGCACGTTTTCTAGTACCACTAAACCACTAATGTACATGAAAGACCCAATGACTTCCGCTTTTCATGCTGTTTGATTGGTCCCGCCAACTCGTAGCGATGGTTGGCGTCTTTTGTTTGATTATGGTGCTATCTACCATAACGTATTTTTTTTTAATCCGCACTGACACTCCCCTCGTCTCCGCAGGTAATGTTTTTGTGTGCGATGCACCTCTTATGTAGGTGTAGGAACTTTTAAATTTACTTTAAAAAAAAAAACAAAAAAAAAAAACAGTTTTTTAAAACCGGGGCTGTTTTTGTGGTTTTTTTATGTATAAAAATTTGCATCGCTTATCAACCGGGCGACAAATGCTGAGTCACTGAGCTGTGGACGCATGCGCAGGGTCTGATATTGTAACGAATGAAGGCGACGAGAGGATGAACAGTGGACTGAAAATAAAGGTTTAATTGGCGAACTTGCGCTAAACAAAATAAAGAACGAGGGTCGAGGCAGCAGAAAGCGGGCGACGGCTTGGCGGCGTAACAGCAAGCGAGAGCGAGACTGACTAGACAAGGCCACGGGCAGCTCCTTACCTATACTCCGTCTCACTAAAACCGTGCAGTACAGCCAAAGCTACAGGGATGAGAGCGTATGCCAACCTGCTCAAGAGGAGGGAAAGGAGGACCGTGAGAGAAGGGCTGGGATTCCCCTTCTCTCCTTTCCTTTCTCTTGAACAGGTCGGGAAAAACTCTTCCCCCTGTAGCTTTGACTGTCTTGCACAGTTTTAGTGAGACGGAGTTCTAGTCTGCGTCGGCAACAAAAAAATTCGGTCCAGAGGTTGGAGCATGAAGCGGTCGGAGTGAGAAAGAACAGGAACTTTTGAAAACAAGAAACTAAGACGAAATGACAAAAGTTACACCCTGGGTAGGAATAAATGCGAATCTTCTAGAATTTCGTGACCGGGCACTGCTTGCTGGGCACTGCGGCCGGCATTGTCCCCCTCATCTAAAGATACACTTCAAGGACATTTGAAATATACCTTTTGTGTTCAGAAATAGGCTGAATATGATCCACAATATCCGTAAATGTCAATCGCACATTTCTGTTTTTAGCCTGATGGCTGTATTTTTTGTTCCGAGCGCTTGCCACTCTGGCAAGCGCTCGGAGTGCAGCAAGCGGAGAGCACGTCACATCTGGTGCAATCGTGATGTAGTCTGTCTTAGTATGAGCAAAGCTGCGGCGAGGCTGACGTCGTAAGGATACCCTTGGGACTTGCCGTTCCAGCAACTGAAGCGGTCGAAGCATGCCACAAATTGGGCCACCGCAACTAACCAGAAAGCTGCTTTTGTGTGAATTTTTGAGTGACGGGTTAATCTATAATCTTGAAAAGGGAGAACAGCGATGCCTGGGACTCACAAAAAAGAGTCCTGTTGAGTGGGGAGTGCCTCCCTCTTTTCTTGTGCTGGCTGTAGATCAGTCGGGATGACGTCAGGTTCAAAGCATGTATAGTTCTAGGCGAGAGAGTTACCGTTCCTTCCTGTCAAGGTTCCTAGACGGGCGTTACAAACGAGACTTCAGCGACATCCACCAAGTGCTCTTTGCTAATCGTTTTAAAATTACTTTTCGTGTTTTTTTAACAATACATTGGTGTGTCCTATGTGATACTGCTCCTTTAAACACGCATAGACCTAAAAATAAGCGTCGAAATTTCGTTGTGGTACCCCTTTAAGAGCGCATCGTCCAGATGCAACGCGAAAAGAAAACGAAAATGGCTAAACAATTGCGGTGAGACGAAATAAACATGCAGTGTCACAATCTCAACGCGCGTAGAACGGCTTAAGTCGAACTACGTGGACCACTTCGGGTTGTGGCTGGCTACACCCTGATGGTCGGGTTCCGTCGGAGAGCACATCCTATTTCAAGTCGCCAAGGCGGCGAATGACCTTGTAGGGTCCGAAGTAACATTTTAATAGTTTCTCGCTGAGGCCGCGGCGACGAATGTGCACTGCACCACACCCTGTCCCTGGGCTGGAACGGCACATCGCGGTGACGAAGGTTGTACCGGCCAGCGTGGACAGGTTGTTGGTGCTTTATGCGAAGGTGGGCTAGCTGGCGTACTTCTTCTGCCCGTTGGGTGACCAGCTGGGCGTCGTGGGTGCCGTCATCCGTCGGGTCGTGGGGCAGCACGGCGTCGAGCATCGTCGTTACCTTTCTGCCGTGCACCAGCTGAGAGGGTGTAATCTCAGTGGTTTCTTGAACGGTTGTGTTGTACGCAAACGTTACATGGGCAACACCTCATTCCACGTCTTTTGTTCTACGTTCACGTACATCGAGATCCTTTTCGACAATAATCTTGTTTAGTCGCTCCGTCAGCCCATTGCTCTGCGGGTGATATGTCGTGGCTCGACGGTGGTCAGTGTGTCTCAGGCGGAGTATCTCTTGTGTCAGCTGTGTCACGAACGAGGAACCTCGGTCCGTAGTCAGGAGTTAGGGAGCGCGGTGTCGGAAGACGATAGACTCGACGAAGAACTTGGCTACTTCCACAATGGTTCCTGACGGGAGTGCTTTCGTCTTGGTGCACTGGGTGAGATAATCAGTTGCCACCATTATCCAACGGTTTCCTGCGTTGATGGCGGGAATGGTTCAAGTAGATCCATTCCAGCCTGCTGGAACGGTGCAGTAGGGGGCGCAATCAGCTGCAGGAGACCTGCCGGCTTTGTCGGCGGTTTACTTCGTCGCTACCACTCGTGGCAGAATCGTGTATAGAGGTGGACACTCTTCGGAAGCTTGGGCCAGTAGCACTTCTTTCGGATCATTGCGGAAGTCCTGCTGTACCCAAGGTGGCCCGATGTCGGTTCGTCGTAGCAGGCTTGGAAGATCTCTTCTTGAAGACTAGCAGGAATTAACAGAAGCCACGTCGAGTTGCTGTCCCTGAAGTTCTCCTCGTAGAGAGTACATCTCTGGACGGCAGATCGTCTCAGCGAACGTGACAAGGCTCGGGGAATAGTACCCCCTCATCCCATCAAATAGTCGATCAGTGCGTGCAGCTCAGGATCATCCCGGTGGAGCGCTGCCATACCGTTAACGCTCACTGCGCCAAGAAAGTGATTTTCGTCGTCGTCGTCTGTGGCACAGCCGATAGCTGACTCAGCGTTGGCTCTGGACAGGCAGGGGGTGTCGCTGTGCTTTCGGCCTTACTTGTAGACCACGGTCACGTCATACTCTTGAAGTCGTAGGCTCCATCGAGCGAGGTGTCCCTATGGGTCCCTCAGGCACGCTAACCAGCATAGCGAGTGCGGTCGGTGACCACTCGAAAAGGGCTTCCGTATAAGTGTGGGTGGAATTTTGTGATGGCCCAACAAACCGCCTGTAGTACACGCAGAGTCCCAGAAATGTTCGAACGACCTTCTCGTAGGTGGGCAGTAAATGCCGGTACGGCGCCAGTCTTTTCAGGGTCAGGACAAACACCTTCGTTGCTTACAACGTGGCCTAGGAGCTTGAGTCCGCCGTAAGCGAACCGGCACTTTGTTGGCATGAGAGTGAGTCCGGCGGTCCTGATTGCTTGAAGAATAGCCCGAAGGCGTCGCAAGTGCACGTAGAAATTGACTGAGAATACCATGACGACGTCGAGGTAAATGAGACAGCCCTGCCATTTGAGGCCTGCCAGTACGGTGTCCATGACTCGCTGGAAAGTTGCCGGTGCCGTGCACAGTCCGAACGGCATCACCTTGAACTTGTACAGTCCATCGAGCGTGACGAAGCCAGTCTTCTCTCGGTCTCGTTCGTCGACTTCGATCTGCCAGTAGTCAGTCACTCTTCAGGTCCATCGACGAGAAATATCGGGAGTGGCGCAGCCAGTCCAGTATGTCGTCCATGCGGGGTAGCGGATACACGCCCTTTGTTACCGCGTTGAGCCGCCTGTAATCTACGCAGAATCGAAGCGTTCCGTCCTCATTTTTCCCCAGTAGTACTGGAGATGCCCACGGTCTGCTTGACGGCTGGATGATGTCGTCGTTGAGCATTTCTTGCACTTGTTTATGAATGGCCTCTATCTCCTTTGGGGAGACCCG